TCAATGTCGGCCCACTGGATTGTGTTATGTAGAACGCTAGTTATCTTCGTAATACTTGCATGGAAGACCTCAGGGGTAGTCGTGGCACTTGTATGAAAGACCATGGGGCTATCCCATGGCAATTGCATGAAAGACCATGGGGGTAGCTCATGGCATTCCAGGAAAAGACCATGGGGGTAGCACATGGCAACTGTATGTATGGCATGTGGTATTTTGGAGAACTCACTAAGCTTTGTGTTTATGGTTTTGTGGTTTAACATTTTCAGGTACTTCCAGATCGAAAGGGAAGGGCCCGACATGATCGCACAGCATCCCCCTTCATGTTTCCGCATTTATGACCATTTGTACTCTAATGATTTGATAAATTGTATTGTGGTTAATTTTGAGACATCTGATTTATGGAATTAATGATTTTTAAAATGAAAAATTTTATCACTGTTTAGGGATGATACATTTTCAAACAACTGTTTATTGGAACAAATGAGTTTTCTTAACTTGGGTTTTATGTAAATGGTGTTTTTACCTTATATAACAATGAAAATTTTGTTTGTGAAAATGGGACGTTACAAGTTTGTTAAATTATCATTTTATGGTGAGCTAATTAAAAGCTAGTAAAAGAGGGTAAAGTGAAATTATCTTTAATTTGAATTATAAGATCATTACTCGATAATGATCCCGTTTATTTAGGGATAATAGAGTTCAAAATAAGATAAGGTTTTAAAATCTTTAAACCATAATTGAAAGCAACATATAATTGGTCACCCACTCCCTCTTATCTCCTTTATCTCTAGGCCTTCATGCACACTCTATCTAGGTTTTATTTTTGGTCAAAGAAAAAGGAAGATCTTGAAGTATTTTGCTATCATCCATCTTGGTTGCAATCATATTATAAAGGTGTTGGCTTGGACCTTCAAATGATCCAAGGAAACAAGATCATCAAAGTATAAAAGGTGTTGTTTTGATCTTATTTTTTATGTGTTATGTTACTAAAAGTTTGCTAGAACAAGTCCTTAGTGTTTTATAATGGTTCAATTTTTGTTTTACTTCCGCTGCGATTTTTGTGAAAAATCAGCATAATCCAACAATTGTGTTTGACACATATCCAAATATATGTTGGACACATCACATTTGAAACGTATCCATGATATAGTCGAAGTTTTTTGGCTCCACGCGTCGTGTATAGCAACTTGGATGCGTCATGTTTTGGTCTTTAGCTCTTTGGTCTTTAGCTCTTAATTTTGCTCTGTGTTCCAGCTTTGGTTTTCAACTCCTTTTCAATCCATTAGTGTCTTTTAGCTACAAAACAATATTCTAAACATAAACATTGCCATAAAAACCCCCAAATTTTCAAAAAATGTTCGGTTATGTCCTAAGTCCATTTTTTTGTCCATAGAAACCGCACATTTACGTAAAAATTGCCATAATTACCCTCTTTTCCGATTTTACCCTTCTATCACATAGGGTATGTTTGGTTCTAACCTCACCATCACTACCTATCCAATCAATTCCCCTTCCCTCACACAATGACACCAGATGTCGGCGCTACCAACATCTACAACACCACCGTCGGAATCCTCCACGCAAACCATCCATGGTTCGACGACTTCCTCTATTCCTTTACTCTCCCTACTCATCTTCATCTTAACCCTAATTCTTCTCCCAATCGCTGCAATCATGTTCCTGTTCACCATCATCGGTTGGATCTTCCTCTTCTTCGTCAGATACGAAGGTTAATCGTTTTCGATTTCGAGTTCGACCATCTTTTGGTTATGATTTAGTTGATTGTGATTACGATCGTTGCGGTTACTGTCACCGGAGTTTGGTGGAACCTCTTTAGCTCGATTCTAAATGCGGCTCCTCTGTTGATCTTACGTGCGATATTGAGGACTCCTGATGATTCTGAATCGCCATATGGAGCTTTGCTTTCAGGTGTTGATGAAGATGAAGATTCACGAGGAGCCTACATACAGGTTTGATGAATTTTTGAAGAACAAATTTGATTTGATTCTAACAATACTTTTGCTTGTACGATTTTTATATACATGTAAAACGATTGATGATTATGTCACTATGTTGTTTCAATGGCTATTTTTGTTTCATATGACCTCATATTTTTTGCTAGTGGAATGTGAATTGTGATCCAATTTGTGTTCTTGTTGGCAATTACTGCATTCACATAACACTGAAACTCAAAATTAAAATCAAAATCAAAATCGGTTATCTATTGAATCGAGTTTAGGTTCTCTCATGTTGGATTTTTATTTGTATCAAACATGCGACCTTCGGGAAAAATTGCAACATGTTATATACCAAGCAAACCAAACACACTTTAATCCTAGAACCAAACATCCCCTAATGCCATAGAAGGGTAAAATCGGAAAAAATGGCAATTATGACAATTTTTGCACAAAGGTGCGGCTTCTGTGGACACAAAAATGGACTTAGGACATAACCGAACATTTCTTGAAAGTTTGGGGGCTTTTATGGCATTAGCCCATCTTAATTTGTATCGGTATATAACTTAAAACATCTTATGTGCAAAATTTATGTATATACTAAGCGATATCAATATCTGCATATTTTATTTATGTACTTTACTATGCATGGACTTAAATGGTTGAAAATTCCATAACTTTATTAAAATAATTTTCTATAAATTATTAATATACAATTAATACATTTAAAACTGACATTCTGGGTTCTGGATTCAATTTCGGATAAAAGGAAAAAAGAATTTCACAGTTCTGAAATCCGAAATTCGAAATATTATTTTATACTTTAATATAATCTAATAAAAAATATTAAAAAAACATAACACATAAAAAATAGATACAATACATAGGCTTAATAAACATGTTTTTGTGTAAATACCGTACATGGGCTTAAATGATGAAAAAAACTATAACTTCAAAAAAAATTATTCTTTTTTTAAAACTTTTGTATCTTTTATTTATGTAATTTCTAATTCTGAATTTTAAGTTAACATAATACTTAAATTTTATGTATTATGACGGCTCGGCATGACGGCTCGGCAGAAAGCGGTTTTTCAGTGCTTACATGCACCACATGCTCAAGATTTTCTTCTGGCTATCCCTATAGATGGGCTTGGCCAACACATGTCTCCCGTGGAGTATCGTACTATTCTCAAATATCGACTCATGATTCCCATATTCCCAGCTGACGAGATATATCATGTGTGTCGCAAGGCATGTTTGGACTCTTTTGGAGAGCATGCAGTTCACTGTAAAGAACTCCCGGGGTTCAAATACAGACACGATATGGTTAGGGATGTTTTGTTTGACATATTTAAGTGTGTCGGGGTTTCCGCTAAGAAAGAGGCACCTGTTAATTTCTTAACTGACCCGACAGAAGGAAGGTCAACCCTCAGACCGGCTGACATTTTGATTTTTTGATGGGTCGGAGGGAAACACGCATGTGTGGATCTTACAGGGGTATCCCCTCTCGTGGGCCTGAGGGCTGGGGTTTCACGGCGGGACATGCTGCTTTAAAAGCAGCTACAAGCAAAGTCACCAAACATAAGAAATCGTGCATGGAGAATCAACACGTGTTCATACCATTTGCATTTGATACGTTTGATTTCCTAGCACCAGATGCGGTAGAGCTTCTTAAAAGAGTACAACGAATCATGCATAGTAATGTTATATCCCCTAGATCTTCGGATGTAGTCTTTAAAAGAATTAGTTTTACCATTCAAAAAGGCTTAGCGGCGCAGCTTGTTGCCCGTTTGCCATCTCACTCATTGTACGATGACAATTAAAATATATGATTAAACAATAAAATGATTAAAAATATGATATAATTATAAAAATATGATGTTAATTTGATAATCCATTAAATTTTGTGTATAGTTTAAATTATGGATGTCTTTGCTCAATATTTTCACTTTTGAAAAAAAAAAAAAATTCTCAAATAAAAATAACAATAATAATAATGAAAAATCATGTGTCAAAACTCAAAACCTTCGGAGTCGACACCTTACAAAAATAAGTAAATATTATTGATAGATTCTTCGATACATAAACCTAGTCCTTGCTGCTACTTTTACGCTCATCAGAAAAACCCCCAACTCCAAAACCCTAATCTATCTCTCTTTCTCTCTCACGCACCTTTTCGGGGTTTACAATGGCCGACGCTGTGATCTCTTTGGAAAAGGTTAAAGCCTTCTGGAGATCTCAAGTTCAAGATGAAGATAATTGGGCACTTAACACGGTAACAACCCTTCGAATTCATATGAATGTCTATAAATCATCAAATTATATCTACGTTTAAAACATTCACCTATGCAGATTTGTTAAATACTAGTTTTATTTCTTAATATACTGATCTTCGCATCTGGATTTGGATGTTGCGGAATTGGTCATAGGAACTTAGGGTTAGTGTTAGTTACGTTGTGATTGTCGCTCGTTTAGGGGGTTTTCATTATATGTATAATCTGTTCTTGCTTATCCATGTGACAGAACTGATTAGGGTTTTTAATCACGAGATTTCTTCATTTAATACCTGTTTTGTTGCAGAAATTACTCCGTGCTGTAGGACTGTTTGCTGGTTCGATTGTTTTGATGCGGAATTTTGGTGACCTCATGGCTATTTGAAGATCAATCATGGATTTCTATCTAGTGATTATATCATATGTGATGCTTAGCAAAGTTTTTTGCTTTTTGAGACACTCTGTTTCTAATCTATGGATGCTTTTGTAGAGACCAAAAGAAATGCAATTTTCTTACAATAATTTTGTTTCAATAATGGTTGTTGCACTTTACTATTTTTCCATGCTATTGTTTATATGTGCATTATACTTGTTAGAATGAGTTGAATTGAGTCTAGTTGTTGAGAATTAGGAGCTCAAATAGGTTTTAGAATGTTTGGATTCACTTAACCATCTCCTAATCCCATGTCATTCTTTTGATTTTTCATCATAAATATATCCATCCATCTCCCCTACTTAAACACACCCTGGATCCTTACTCAAAATAACAAACATGGCCACCGGTGCACCCGATCATACTGCAAAAGTCGAACACATAGCCCGAAAGCCACGTGGCCGACCCGCAGGCTCAAAAAACAAGCCCAAACCACCCATCATCATCACCCAAGACAGTGCCAACACCCTTCAGGCTCATGCCATGGAGGTCACCACTGGGTGCGATGTGGGTGAGAGCCTAGCCACATTCGCTAGAAGAAAACAATGTGGAGTTTGCGTTCTAAGTGCCGCAGGCCACGTCACCAATGTCACTTTACGGCAACCCGCCACGTTATCAGGAACCGGCCCGATCGTCACGCTCCATGGCCATTTTGAAATCTTATCGCTAGTTGGCTCAGTTCTGCCACCACCGGCCCCGCCTGGTGTCTCAGGCTTAGACATATATCTAGCTGGCCCGCAGGGCCAAGTTGTAGGTGGAGCCATCACTGGCCCGCTTATTGCAAGTGGGCCGGTTATCATCATGGCCGCCACTTTTATGAATGCAACTTTTGACAGGTTGCCAATTGAGAAAGATGAACCACCACTGGCTATCAGTCCAATAGCAGCACGCAATCAACACATGATTAGTGTTTCGGATATATGCGGGATCCCACAAAACTTGCTTTCAAACACGAATGAGATGTACACTTGGGCTACAACTCGACCACTGTCGAAAACTTAACACCACCATTTTTTAGTACATGATTTTTACCCAAAGTCATTCAGAACTATGTGTTTTTAGTAGAAATATTGCAAAACTTGCAATTTAAAGAACATAAAGATGTTAAACACCATCATGTTGATTTAATTGATTTATACCCAAAATCATACTCAACTGTGTTGCTAGTAGAAATATTGTAATTTGTAAACCTTGCAATTATATATATAATCCAATTGTCACCCATATCTTACTTTTCAACCCAAGGTTTTCCTAACTTGAGCCAACCAATCGTTGCTCATGATTAGTTTTGCTATCCTATGACCTCATTTGTTGAATTGTCTAAATCCATTAATCCAAATTACCAAAATGGCCTCTACATTTTTCTATATGTTCACAAACAATCCAAGTTACAGAAATGGTGCTGGATTTTTTATTTTTTTATTTTTACTTTTTTGACAAACCAACACTCATTTTCTTTAAATTTTCGATGTTTTGTGGGTTATAATCATGCACAAATTTCCTATTCATATATGGGATTTTCTATCTTGTGTTGTCTTATAGTGTAATAATTATTAATAGCAGTTGAAGGTTGGGGGTTCAAACCAACAAACTCCAAATCTCCATCTTTTTTTCTTTTAATTATGAGTCACGTAAACATGTCTTAAATCTATTTTTTTTAGTCTCATCCAAATGTGAACCTTCTTTTTTTCAAAATACTCTCTTTTTTTATAATTTTAATCCAAATTAAAAAAATTCTATGGGCTTTTTCCAAACGGTTAACAAAAAAATATTAAATCCTAATGTTTTTCAAAAATAAGTTTTAATTCTGTTTTATTTTTTTACCACCCAAAGTTGCCCCATATCCATTTGGTTTTCTTTAATACAATTTATTTTAAGAAAAGTCTATTGTTCTTGTGGTAGAAGTATTGAAAAACTTGCGATTTAAAGAAGAATATAAAGACGATAAACTTGATACTTTCATTAAATCAGTTGTTAAAATTCGATAGATACATACTTGAAAGGACACCCAAGGATTGGAATTAAACTTCAAAAGAAAATGAAACCACAAAAAAAACCCTAGAATGTCTTCAAGCTTTTATGGAAGAAATCTCCTCCAACAAGAACTTGGATTCAGCTGCAAAATCAACCGGAGCAACAGATCGAACAGTGATCCTTTGTCGTTTTTCATTATTATACTCTCGAGGTTGAACGCTCACTCGGAAAAGTAATGGCACCCACGTCGCCTTCTTCAATTGTAGCTGGTAATCACTTCCATCACCCTGAAAACATCGACAAAGAAAAAATGAGAAACGAGCTCTACAGTTAACAAAAGTTTAAGATTTATGTATCAAATTTACCTGCGACTTCAAGCTATCAAGCTCATCAGCGGAGCACCCGATAATCTTCTCAGCTTCATCGTTAAAAACAGAAAACCAAGCTCCGCCACTTACATCGGAAAACTTTGCCGCCAAAATGTACTTCAAACTGCAGTTGTCTTCATTCTTCTGGCATCCTTCACACCAAAAACCAGATCCAATTGCTTCAGTAACTTTCTTTTTGCAGGTCTTGCATGCTCTATACCACATCGTCTGATCAGGTTTGATCAAACTCATACTCGCTCGTGTGCTGTAAAACACCGGCTGCCGGAAAAATCAAAAAAGCTTATTAGGGTTTTTTCTTAGGTTTTGCATTATGTAATTGTAATGTTTATAAATCTTTTATGAATAGCGAGATTATCGTACCTTCTCCTCACCCAAAGATGGGTTACTGGTGATTTGGTCAAGTGTGACCCGGTCAGAGTACAGTGATCGGCCACCGGTTTTCATGGAGGGGCTTAAACTGGAGCCCACAGCTTCCATGGATGTTTCTTTTCCTTCTGTAGAATACCATGATTTTAACTTTTGAGAATCTGGGGTTTCTGGGTTTATTTCAATGATGCTTTTGCTCACTGTCGATAAAGATACACCTAAAAGAAAGAATAAATTATTACAACGGGTATGATACGAAATGGAATATTATATTAGTATCATATATTCATTCTGCATCAATTCATAATATGAAATAACTACCTTGAAAATCAGATACACGTAGAGATTTGATTGCAACTACAGGCGATTCATCTGCCATGTCTAATAGTTTTTGGCCAAGATCGGTGGCAAGATCACTCCACAAAGAGATGACAACAGTCTTCTTTCTGAAAGAAAAAATGAATTGTTCCACTTCAAGATATGCAACAAAAATGGATCATAAATAAGTGTAAAAGACAAGAGAAGAAATGATTACGTGTCATCTGCAATGACAATGTCACGCTTTGCGACTGATTCATTATCAATTTTCCTGCGAATGCTCATTGTTGGCGATACACTTTGTACAACACCAATAACATCTGTAATTCATGGTCTTGTTAGATTCATATTGAAAATAATCAGTTATGAGAATTTGTACAAAAGGTTTGAAATTAGGGTTTATACCTACAAGCTCCTTCTGATTGACATAAGGTCCCAATTGATCAATTGGGACAAAAGAGAACTTTGTTTCAGGGATAAAAGCGACTTCATTGACAGCTTCTTCAACTTGAGAATATTCATTTAAAGTCATTTCATAATCATTCTGTACAGTTTTGTATTGCTTGTTAGCAACTTTCAAAGTTCCTTTGGATATGTAATACACCTTTCCCATTTGGAACACTTCAAAGAACTTTCTTGCAGCCTCACCAAACATGGTTGCTTGAATTTGAGTACCCTGATAAATCAAAAAAAAATCTCATTAATTTTTTTAATAAGACAAAAAGGAAGATTTAGAACTTAAGAATATGAACTTACATCTTCATCAGTTAACTCCACATTGAAAACACAACCTTCACCCTTTGCATTCTTGTAAGTGCGCATGTTTCCTTTAGCTGTAACCCTAACCTTAATAGTCCAGTTTCCTTGATAAGGATTTAAAGAAGCAAGGGGATGAACCCTTCTTGTCATTGCCATTCTTGCAGAAGGTGCCATGCTACAATTACAAAACAACATGATAATCAAAATTAGATCAAAACCAATAAAAGACTTTTTGTAAACACAAACGTCGGCACCCTTATCTTACTTTTTGTTCTGCTCATTGACAATTTGAGCTGCTGATTTGGTGACAACTTCTTGCCTTGGCTTTAACACAATGCCAGTTCCTTCAATCTTAGGCTCAATTTTAACTTCTGTCTCTAAAGGAGGAGAGACTGCGTCGCATTTTGTCACAATTAAGTACCTAAACAAAACCAAAACAAGTGAGATAAAGAATATCTAAAATACAAAAATATTATCAAAATCATCGGTTAATTGTAACACAAAATGTAATTCAGAATCTTACTTTTCATTCTTGTTTGGAATGTCATTGAGAGTGTAATCAACAACACGGATAAGACCCAGATTTTGGATATTCCCATTGATAACTTCAGCTGCCAAGCTAGACTGCAAAATAGCCTTCAACTTCGTCTTGCCATCAGTGACAGTAAACCTGTTAACCATAAATAATTGAAGTTTATATGAAGTCAATAACATCATACCAAAACACAAGATGATATACATCCAATCCACGTGATAAATGCTCATAGATCTGTAGTATAGAGTAATTTCGCAACCAATAACATGTTTGTGCCATAGATCTGTAGATAAAGCATGCGTTTTAAACAATAACATTTTTTGCCCTGATCTACAGATTAGATAAACTTTTGAGGTTTTAAGAATTTAAATCTCCCAGGTAAATGTAGTTTAATACTGGTATTTGCTGAAAGGGGGAATAAAACCCTAATTCTTCGGACGCGAATAAAAACAACGATATACTTTGAATCCTACACATAGACTAGCGGAAACATAAACGATCAATCGAAAATTTTAGAAACTTACGTGTATCTGTTGCCAGCAGCCTTGAGATCGAGAACTTGAACAACAAGTTCGGGTAGATCAGCTGATGAATCTGGAGTAGGGTTCGACAGTATCACTGATATCGCATCTGGGCTAACCGATTTCGCCATCTCTTCTTGCTACGCAGTATCAAAGATCCCAAAAATGGAAATTAAAGAAACAATAAACCCTAGAACCAGAACTCACGCTCCTATCTCTTTTTCTCTCGGTAGATCTACTATGAATCGAGAGAAATGATAAAACCGTAAGAGGGGTGAAGGGGCTTTTGTATAAGTGGTTTTAGCGCCAATATATTGAAATTTTAGTAAATCTATGTGTGTATGTTCCCGGGTTTTTACTCTTCCTTTTCAAGAAAATTTTCGCGCCGAATTGTAAGAGCTAATTATGCTGAAGTTTTGAAATTTTTGGGTACTCTACTGCTCTTTACCAACGACCCCCTCAACTTAAATCGAGTTCTAACTTAGGTCCATTGACTTCTCAATACCATTGTTTTTACATTACATTTAATTTCCCATAAACTATTATACCAAAAGTTAGAAATAATAATAATAATAATAATAATAACAAATAAAATGTGTATAATCTTTAGCTCTAACTTAGGTCCTCTGACTTCTCAATACCATTGTTTTTACATTACATTTAATTGTCCATAAACTATTATACCAAAAGTTAATAATAATAATAATAATAATAATAATAATAAAATGTTTATAATCTTGATATTGGTATATTACTTTATATGTTTTCAAACTTATTATAAGTGAATCAAGAATATATTCTGAACTCACGAAATATATTGTGTTTTTGTCTTTGAGTGAATAAGATGACATAGGTCAGTAAAATAAAAATAGCTACACTTTGTGGTTGTTTAAATAACCACCTTCAGCTCTTCCACTTGCATTCACATTGATGACAACAATGTCAAATTCCAAAGCAATTTATTAGCTTGGGGACTATTTTTCTGTTCATATTTCATATATTACGAGTGATTGATTTTTAAGTCATTTAGGTTTTTCTTGTAACTAATAATTGTCATGGTTGCTAAAACGTATTGGAGTTTATTACATGAATGAAGAGTTTTATACAAATTGATCAATTGTAAAAGGTTGATGTCATAAAAAGCCATAAGTTTTAGGCCTAAATTCAAAATAATAATAACTAAAAGAAAAAAAAAACGTTTGAATTAAATAGGTGTTGCCGGTTACCAATGGTTTGATGTCATGTTACCCGTAACCATTACACTTTGAGTATTTGTGTTTTTGGAAACCACGTACAACAAATACCTTTTTGCCAAAACTTCTTGTACATATATGGTTTCATATTGCAATAAATTCCCAGATAATTACAGCTACTTAAAACATTGCGATCATATTGCATTTGGCCAAATAATATATAGTACATGTCCATGATCAGCCTTATGCAAATATAATTATACCATCATCAAAAGGCTAACAAACAAGTACTCTTCAAGACTAATACACCGACATAGACCATCCAAGACTAACAAAAAGCAACAGGTTAACCAGAACACCATACACAAAATCTTACAAACATAACCTATACGCCTATACATATGCTAATGCCAACAACAGATAGGTTGTGGTCAACATTATTAGCCAACTCACCCAACCCCTGTGCCACGTCATCTTATTTAACATGAGAAACAAATTTTGAAAAACTATGCCACCACCATGCATTAAAAGTGATAAAAAAAATCTAACTATGTCAAAAATCCATACACCAATTGCTTACACTTGACTGCACAAAAAAAAAAAAAAAAAAAAAAAAAAGGAACTATTTAGCTAGAACGAAAACCTACTTTATCAGGATGATGCTACGATCAAGAACATCACTTCCTTCTGTTTCAATCACAATATTTCTCATCTTTCTTCCTTCTTTTGCCCCTCTTGTACGTTGTAACAGGAATGGCAAGCCTAGAAATCACAACAGAAGGGGGACAGACAGTACAACTATATAAGGGCATATTTGTACAATGAATTCAACAATTGTTGTCAAAACTCAAACTCAAGAACAAAATGTACAACACCCAAAGCAGTTTGTCCAAGTTGTTGCTGCCTTGGGCTGGGGCTGTTTCTCTGGTTCAGGGTGTTCCCTTTCTGTTTCTGAGATTGCTTCCAATGAACCAGTAGTCATCCTAGCTCCATCTTTATCTGTGTCTCCTGTCAAACTTTATTTTCACCAAAAATAAATAAATAAGTTTTTCATGTGTTAAAGTAAGTTGTTGATGCAGACACTGCTTAATCCATTAAGTTATATATGGCTGTTTCTTTTTTTGTGAAATTTGTGTTTTTTGGAATGTAAGGGTAAAACGGTAATTTTGACTCGTTCATTCTGTCTAGAAAAAAAACGAAACAGACCTAATGTATACAACAAATTATGCAGACAGACATTACTACCCATTAAGATACTTTACTCATACGATTCTTGAGGAGAAAAAAGAAACAACCCCTAACGTTTTAACAGACTTGATGAGAAGATGACTTAATTTTGCAGAAAGAAGGACTTAATAGAGGTGCCAACTTACACTGGAAATGTAAAAGATTTTGCACTTTCACTTTCTGCAGAAAGATGAGAAATACGATCATCAACAACAGATTTCCTTCCTTGATTTTCTTGTGAATTTGGATTCACGGGTTCATCTGGAATACTTGATCCGTGATTCTTATTCTTACTTACATCACCCAAACTCTGATTCTTATCCTCTCCACTCAATTCAGGACTTTTACCCTCGTGGTCTTTTCCTGTTTCTAACCCGTGGGTTTTACCCGTTTCATTCGATTCAGGAATGGTTTCGACCTCCTGGATATATCTTTCTAGGTCTCCTGATTTCCAGTTGATGCTATCTTGGTAGTTGAAACTCATCTGAATGCTGAATAACGACTCATTTGAAGCCATAGCCCAATCTTGACTTGTAGATTGCTTTCTAGCAAAAACAGAAGATGGTATTCGGTATTTTGGGGTTGTTGGCCTTTCCATGACTTGGATAGGAGGAGTTTCAGAAGTGTAATCGATACCTTCATTGACTTTTCCACCATTTTTGCTATCAGAATCTTGACAGGAATCTTTTAATGTGGAATCGGTTGATGAGATGGTGGAAGAAGGTGAGGCATGTGGGAATATTTTTTTGTCATCATCTTCACTGTCACTTGCACTTATCAATTCTAATAGATCGTTTTTATCAGAAGTAGTGGAAGAATCTACCACTGGTTCACTCTTATTGCTTCGTGTTTCATGCTTTGGTTCCAAGATTATCGGGTCTGATTTGGTATCCAAAGATCCCATATGAAATTACAGAGATATTTGGATTAGAACTGCATAATGTAAGGAAAAACTTCAGGGTTTACTTCTAGCATTGTATGAAGGTCCTAGAATAGATTATAGTAAAATTCGAATTGCTGAATAACAACAAGAAGAGATCAGTCATTATAAATGGATTATTGAAGATAAAGTTTGAAAAAACCTAAATGGAAATTGGACCCTGATTAAGGCCCTTCTGGCTCTGGATATCCGTTTCTCTTCATTGTGATAGTTTATGGAAGGAGAAATTCAATGCCACGAGATATAGCACGTAATTATAAATTCATAATCCTCCAATTGTTATCAGCGTACAAGGTTCTCATAATGGATTAAAACCTACATGAACATTTAAAAAAAAAAAAAAAACGAAGAAATAGACACCTTAAACCCTTGGCTACGGCGATTAATAGGGAGAATACAAGTTAAAAGAAAAGAAGCAAGCAAGGATTGAGATAATAACCATATGAAACCGATAAGCTTCGTTCGAAGAGACTGTTGATTTCCGGCCACGGCGACCCGTAGCCTCAGCCAGACAAGTAATCAGCAGCCTCTTTCTGTCTTCAAATCTGTCAATTTCAAATGCAAATCCTGCCTTATGGAAGATAATTGAATCGAGTATCTGCATCGGTGTTGTGCGAGAGAGAAATGAGAGGAAAGAGAATGATGGTTTCACCTGAGAGAATGAAAATGCAGGACCGGCGACGTTTCCGGGCCTCCAGGGTCTCCTCTTCCCTCCAATCTTGTTCGTAATCGTAACTGATTTCATTCGATCTTCAATTTTCAATGACTGAACTGCATGAATAGTCCCTATACTCCTACATAAGTTTCGGTATTTACCCTTGACACAAAAACCTACCACCAAAATAGACACGTCGAATAACAAGCCAAAGCGTGTGAATTTTGAGGACATGTCACATTGGTTGGATTGAACACCATTTGTTAATAAAACAATTTGAGATGATGTAAACACATAAGTATACTATAACAACTTTTAAATCACACAATTTTAACTAAATTATTAATTAGATATAATTTTGATTTGCAACAATGAAATACAAAGCAAATTGACCCGATTCCTAAGAACTTGTAAATACAAATTTCTTTTTAAATGCATATTTAGGTTGTGTTTACCATGTGTAATCTAGTTTGATTTGTGAGCTTATTGCAATGTGTTGTTTGTTGAAACCACTATAATAACTTATAAACTAGTTGTTTTTTTTAAAACATTTAATACAACTAATTGATAAACTCATACAGTTTTTCTAATAGTTTTAAAAATATATCTTTATTATAAAAAACCGTATCCTTATACCACGGAGACGAGGTTCTCTAGGGGCACAATATATCGTTGAAGGTATTTAGAGGGAGGGGAATATATAGTAATGTAGTGGATACTATGTTGACAGTATGTACAATGAATGTTGGCTCACTAAATGGAAAGTTGTTGGATCTGACATGGGTTTTAAAGAAAATGAGAGTAAACATAGATTGTATGTAAGATATTATGTGGATGGGGTAAAGGCTAAGGAACATAACATATATAGGTTGTAGTATTCAGGGTTGGCAAGTGTGAGGAATGAGGTTGGTGTGTTATTGTCCTCGTAACTCAAGGACAATGTGGTAGAAGTTAGAGTCATGTTATGATATTGGCAGTCAAAGTTGTAATGGGGGATGTGGTGAACATAGTGAATGTTTACATACTAGAGAGGAAGAATGTAAATGTCTTTATAATTTTTTTACATTACCTCATAAACCAACAAGATGACTGCAACATGCATGTAAAGTATTGTGATCCTAATTAATAAGAATAAAGGTGACGCCTAAAGCTATGAGGACTATAGATGTACTAAGATACTTAGTTATACTATGAAACTATAATAAATAATGTAACAACCGATTATCAGGTATTATCATTTTAGTCCTTACCTTTATCAAAGTTGCATAATTGGTCCCTTGTGGCAAAAGTTTCCCGTTTTAGCCCGTACGTTGAGCGTACATGAGGATACGCGCAACGTACTCATGAGATGCAGGATCGCGGAAGCCCTGCTAGTTCGTTGGGCGTACGTGTGGTACATCGGGCATACTAGCCCAGTCTCTAAACCCTAATTTTAAGGGTTGCTCCCTATTTAAACCACCTTATGCCTCCCTTGAACATTCCTTATCAGCCACCATTCCCCTCATAAACCCTAATCTCAAGTCTAAGCTTGTTTGTGAGAGTTTGGGGGCTTATTAAAGTGGTTTTGGTGCATATTTGTTGAAGAAGGAGGCTATAGAATAAGGAAGTGTTATTGGATTAATGTCTAAGTCCATAACTATTTTGGTATGTACTTGACCCGATTGTGAGCATGGTCCTTTTGGGTTGCCTTCACCAAAGCAACTTGATAGGATGATTTGTGGAGAAAGAGATTAATTATGATGCATTAATATATTATATGAATAATATATTAAAAGAGAAAATCATATTGTTTAATTAATAAGAATTAATTTTGTGGCTAAAAGACATTAATTAAATAAAGGGGACTAGATTTGTCAATTGTGTGATAGTTGGATAGTGGGCTAATGGACTCCATAGAGGCTGGAGTGGACGAAATCTATGGGGAAACCCATGAGAATTCGTCCAAGGCCTCTAAGGAGGGAGTTCATGGGCTGCTTAGGGCCTAAGCAGTCATATTAGGGTTTCCTAGTTCAAAACCCTAATGGCCTCCATATATAAAGACCCCTAGGGCACCCAAAAATGTGGCTAAGCATTCCTTAGGGTTTCTTGGACGTTTTTGGTTCCTCCTTCTATTCTCCTAAGTCATCTTCTTGCTCTTGGTGTTTGTGAGCCATTAGAGGAGTGACACTTGTGACTCTAAGCTTTCAGAAGCCAATTACAAGAAGGAATAGATTGTTATTGCTACATAACAATCAAAGGTAAGATCTAAAACCCTTTATTATAATAATATTGATTTTTGTATGCTAGATTAGGGTTCGTGAGTCTTGGATGAATTGCATGTACAATAGAGAAACCTAGATCCAACCATTAGGGTTTGCATGAGCACATAGGATGTTCTTTTGTATAAAACCCATCAGTGGTATCAGAGCCTTGATTGGTTTCTAGTGTATTGATGCTTAGTGTTTCATTCTTGATTGCAAAGTCGAGTTTTTGGCCATCTGCCTGACAAACTCGTCGAGTCCCAATATGGACTCATCGAGTAGGATGAACTCGGCGAGTCCATATGGTGACTCAGCGAATCTGGTTGTCAGACAGACGGATTTTCGGATTTTTTGCCTATTTTGACTTAGGATAATTGCCATAATTGTTTCAAATTAATAAAATACAAATTTTATTGATTCCTTATGATTATCTTTGTCAAAATAAAAGATTTTGGTCATCTAATTAGATAATTGTTACCTTGTTTGATAAATGTTAAATTATTTGAATTATTTGGTCAATTATCTTGCATGAAATTGGATTAGGTCAAAAACTAGATAATCACCAATTAATTGTTTAACTGCCTTATTTATATTTTGATCTAGATAGTTTTGAAATGTTTCAAAACTTGCCCTCAAGTTTTGGAATTTAAATTTTTTGATTAAAAAGTTTAATTTTGAAATATTTAAATTCTAAACCCTAATGATTTGAAATGGTTCAAAAACTTTCCCTCAAGTTTTGGAATTTAAATTTTAATTAAAAGTTTAATTTTAAAATGTTAAATTCTATTACTCTAATTTTTTAAAAAGTTCAAATTGCATCCTTATGGTTTTATTAAATTAATTAAGTGTGTAATTAAAGGAGAGTTAATAAATCCATAATGATATGGTTTACATTTAATTAAATTAAAAGTGTAATTTATTAAATTAGACCACATAATATTTTAAAAGGTGTAAAATACACCGTTGTACTATATATAAGGTTAAAAGTCTAATATTATATATGTATAACTTAAATGCTAGTCTTACCGTTAGTAGGCCTCATTCACGAAGTCGATCTATAAGGGGGGTATAAGGTTATGGCCTATAAAATGGTCGTTCAATGGGTGTCCACTCTCACCCACCACTTCCTTGATTGGTGGAGGGTCGTTAGCCGAACGGGTAGGATAAGTCAAACCCTCTCCTCATTAAAAGTATAATGAATGTTAAAGTAACTAAATGTTTTACAAAATTCCCAATCTTAGTTACTTTAGGCAAAAGCGAATTGATGTAATTCCATGAAGTTACACTTTGTACCCTTGCTAAGACGTTAGTGGAGCGTGTGTGGTTAACCGACACACTAAATGGGTTCTAAGCAAAGGTAGCAAAGGGTGACTCGATGTTTGTCATAGTTCGGTGGAACGTGTGTGGTTAACCGACACATCGAATAGATGACTGTAACATTGGGGGCACCATGTAAGTTTGCATGGTTATTCACACGCTGTTTTGTGATCCTCGGCATCCAAGTCACAAATCGAGGGGCATAACGAGATTTAAACATGCCATTGAAAAGTTCAATGAATCTCAAAGGATCTAGGAGTTTTCAATACATTTAAAACTTAATCTCTTTTTCGTTTTTCATGGTGTAAAATTAGTGAATCGTCATTCACTTACCTTCAAATGTCCTGCAATTTGGGTTACGACATCCCTCTCCCAAGTTGTAGAGTATTGTGTTGGGTCCTAGCCTTAATATCTTATTTGGGTGTTTTATTAAGGACTCAATCAATCAACTAACTTGAATTTTCTCCCGTTTTGTAGATGTCAAAGTATGACAACTCTGGTCTTCCCAAATCCATTGGAACAAGCTTTCCACATGAAGATGATATTCCACGATTCGATCGAGGAACGAGAGATCATGTTTCACTTCCTCCACCTCCTCCTATTGTTCTCCCTAACCCACAAGTTCAAAGGCTTGAAAAGTTCAAGCTCACTCAAGCCATTTTGGCAAGTAAACATGAAGAAGGAAAGTTAGTGTGTGCACACGTCTTAGAGATGAAATCACACATTGATAGGTTAAGAATGTTGGGAGTCGTTGTCTGTGAGAAGCTAGCTGTTGACTGGGTTCTTCAGTCGCTTCCTGACTCATATAGTGAGTTCGTAAGAGAGTACTATATGATAGACCACGACGTGACCCTCATCGATCTCACCTATTTGCTTGTTGTTGCTGAATCGACAATGATTTGGCGCACTGGAAAAGCAAATTTGATTGGTATATCGACCTTCCAAACCTCCATGGACATTGGCAATGGCAACGAAAGGCATGTCATGGTCGAAAAGTTTGATCATAAGAGAAAGGCAAAGCCTGTAGTAGTTCCATGTGCCGTTCCAAAAAGGTCAATTTGCTTTTATTGCCAAGAGAAGGGGCATTGGAGACGAAGTTGCCCTATCTACCTGAGAGATCTAAGAGATGGGAGAGTCAAGACGTATGACTCTGCTTCAGGTGAAATCCATTAACTAACTCTATAAGTTCCTATTTTTGATTCCTAATACATTATGTGATAAGATTACATTTTTGATGTTTCGTAGAATCGAAGAAAAGAAAGGAAGCTTAAAGGAAGGAGTGTGTTGAATCTGATCGTGAAGAAATGGATTTCGATCGCATGGATTCGAAGATCGGATTTTTGAGCTGCTACTTTAGAGTTAAGATAGATTGCTAAGAAATGTAATAGCATAGTTTTTCAATTAGTTGTGTTGTAAGGACAAATTTTTCCGCAATAAAATAAATTTTGATTTTGTTTTATTTATTTATCCTTGCAATGACATGTATGAAAAATTGATGTTTGTGTATTTCTATTATTAGCAATGTTGAAATAGATGTGATTCTTAGTTATATTATTTTTGGTAATGTCATAATTTTCTAAGTAAGGAAAGATTCTCATCGCCCAAGTTTCAATTGGAAAGAAACATGGAATCTTACAACTTGTATTGTGTGATGTATGGAAATCTTGGTACTTAAGT